TCAAATTATATTGCTGACACATCTTAATATTCATCATATGTATACAGTGATTAACTCTAAGGAAATAATCATTACCTATGGGAGCCTGCACAGTGTCCTGCAAACATGGGGGTGTACTCATGCTGGGGTCAATGAAAACAGACGCCAACAAAGACACACACAGCCGGTCACACCAACATACACCCATGATCTCAGCACTTCGATGCTGAGGCAGGAGGATCACAAGTTTGAGGAAGCTTAATTTGTGCAGCAAATCTGCATCTGGAGACAAAACAAGACATTTGCACATATAATTAAGTAGATAAAACCATGCCAGAAAAAAATGACAAATGCTTTCGGTTTTGAATTTATATGCCCATAAAAAAAGAGCAGAGGACACACCAAATGCTAATAGGGATATCCTACAGGTTGTAGGACTGTACTAATTCCTATGTATATTCTTTATAGATTATGCAATTACTCCTGTAATTTAAAAAGACATTAATTTTAAATTCCATAGGACTGGCAGCAAATTATTGTGCTTACTTTTCTGATTTGTTTCTACCCCTACCACCAAGAATTCCTTAGCATCGAATATGATATTAACAAAAAAATTGAAATAATCTCCTTTAATAGAAACAGAATATGAGGGTTTACCGTCTTGGAACTTTGGAGGTGGGGAAAACTGTAAGATCACAACTAACTGTGCAGCTTCTCCATTGCTTTGAAGCTGGCTATTGGTCTAAGTTACCTATTGGTTTCTCTCATTGAATATGGGCCATTGCACCACGAGGGGGTGCCCTGAGCTTGGCGAGCTCAATAGTATTCAGTATGATGGAAGGGCGCAGCTGACACCCTAGACACTGGAGGAAACAGGACACCCTCCTCACTGGTGGCTCTGTCCTTCCCAATATGTTTCAGAGTCCCTTGCTCAAACTCACTCTGGCTGCAGATGACCAGTCTGTGAGGGCACTACAGTCAGCTGGTCACTTATAAAATGAACAGCAATGACAGAATGGAGCCAGGGTTGCTGCAAGTCTAATCCATTTAGCAGAGACGCCACTGATGAGTCAGTTTTGTCACTGTGACACAAAACTAAAGAGCACAACACAAGCAACTGTTGGGGAAATTACCTTAGCAACCATTCTACCCTGAAGACACAGCCCATCAGTAACAGGCCATCAAAGCCAATTCAGGTTCTTTGGTGTTTAAGAAAAAGATTACTCCATGGAGGAATCCAATTATATAATAAAATTACTTTAAATGTTTAAAACAATGAAAGTGGAACAAAATCATTTTCCCCATGTCATCCAATAAGTCAGGCTAATACTTGTAATTGACGTCAAAATTGTTGTTTATCTCTAAAGGGGGCGGAGTGGGGGAGGGCAGCTTCTAACAAAATGGAGAAGGGTACAGAGCAGATGTCCTTACAAACTGTCGCCTGAAAACTCCTCCTTTCCTGAGGAATCCTGGGAGTGGAGGTAATCGTACAGTGAACATGGGGTGGTAGTTACAACTATTGTTTTCAGAGAGAGAAGAGTAAGCACGCTTGGGCCTTGGTTTTAACATGGAGTTTAAGTACTGTGCACATTACATGGGGCATTTTCATGTGCAGTTTCCTCACCAGAAGACACAGTGATATGTCTACCTATGTCACGATGTGTTGTATGAAAACACCAGAGCACAGCACACAGGCTCAATAAGAGCACAAGAGTGACACCTGCAGTAAGATGTAGCCAGGGAACATCAGAGCCAGGAATCCAAGTAGGGAGCCTGCGTGGCTCTTTTCAAGACAAATGACTCCCATATACACCTGCCCCAAGGCAGGTTCCTCTGAACTGAAAGAGGAGGCTCAGGAGACTCATGGGGTAAACAAAAGGTCACTGGCTGGCAAAGCTGGTACCTGGAAGATTCTGGAGGGTCTCTCCTGAGCTTTATAGGAGCAAACATCTCCAAGAGCTCTTAGACCTGACCTGCTGTCTACAAGCTGTGCAGAGAGACCCAGACTTGCAGCTCTCCTGAGTCCTCATCCATGCCATGGAGTAACCCCTCACCCATACTCCTGTTAGGAACCACAATAAAATCAGTGGTTCACCAAGTTGGACTTTGGTACAATTGTTACATTGGTCTGTCATGGGTTTCCTTCATGGGGTGAGGAGGTGTAGGTGTGTAGGGGTGTGTGTGTGTGGGGGGGGTCTGTCTGTCTGTCTGTGGTATTGTCCTAGGAAAATTTTGTCTAAAACAATGTCTTAGCTTATAATACATTACTGGCTTCCAATGAATCGGGTTTGAAGGGTAATACAATGATTTCTATTAATTGCTATAGCTTGGAGGGAGGGGGAGGGAAAGATGATTACACCACAAAGTAAATATGCAGAACTTAGGCTGGAGCTAAGCCAGTTTCACATTGTCCAACACCCCCCATCTGCCCCACAGCCATTGTTCTGACAGCGCTATAGAAGCGGTTCAGTATTGTAATATTCACCACCACACACTTCCAATTCTGATTCACAGTCTCTATCCTCTCAACCTGGAAGAACCAGACTGTATTTAGGAGAGAACTGAAACAGCTAAGATTCTCGTGAAAGGAAAGTCAGTAATAGGATAAAACAATGCACTGACTAGCATGGGAGTTCCTCCCTAAGCCTCCACATCCCCCACTAACAGCAGAGGAACAGAAGTCAGCAGAGGAGGGAATGTTCCTGCCCAGCCAGAGTTTCATGCAATGTCTGGGAGGAGTCTGCAAAGGTCATTTCTGCAAAGGATACAGATATTCCTAGAACCACCATCACAGAAATGCCTCACATAGTTGTAGCCTATGGCCACTGACTGTCCAGCTCAAACATTACCTGCCTCATATATAAGCTGTCAGTGGAGGGTCCGTTGTGATTGAAAACCTCGTCTTTAGAGTGGTACCATGGGAGATGACACCTGGGGTGGGGGGTCAGTGGGCCATTTTATTTTATTTATTTATTCCTTACAATAGGGAGTTCTCTGGAAAGAAGTTCTCCTGGGACACCTGGTTGGTTATCTCTTGGAGACTGTTATGAAGGTCTGTGTTTGCCTTCGTTGTTTCTATAGACAAACTTAAGATATGACCACTCTGTCAACTCAGGCTCCTACTACCTGCTATGAGGCCTACCTCAGCACTCAGAAGATGCAGGCACCATTCCCTTGACCCTCCAAACAAAGCTAAATCAATCTTTTTTCTTCATAAAGTAGTTTGTACGGAGGCCCATAGAAGTGGCTCCGTTCCATTTTGACACAAAGTCTGAGCCTATTATTGCTCCTTCAAGGCTGAGCCACAGGATGGTTCATCTAAAGTACGGCTATTGTATGTTTTGCCTAGACAACGGGATATTTGACCTAAGGTGTAGATATTTGGTTTAGGGTGTGGTTAATTGGTGTTTGGGTATTATGGAGCTAATTACATTTGTTTGTTCCTTGTAGCATGGTAAGGAAGTCTTTTGCCTCCCACCTCCCCACTCCTGTTTGATGGGAGAATATAAGAACTTAGAGCAATAAACTTGGGGTTGATCACAGTATTCACAGGATGCCCTCCAGACTCTACCTGTTGTCTTAAATCTATTTCTTTCCTCAGCCCACATTCCCCCTGTCAAGCATGGACTGGATAAGTTGGCTGGGTCAGACAAGCTTGCCTTGGACATTTCATTACAGTGACATGGAGATGACAGGTGACATAATAAACACCATTTGTATGCTTGCTCTCTCCCTGTTTCCTTCTTTAAATTCCCGTTCTCCACACTGTGAACATCACAAAGTCAGAGGCACCTTCAATACTCCCTTTCACTAACAGAACGAATGAATGTGAAGCTGAAAGGCGGTATCGGGCCTCAGATTTGTGGTTAATGTAGTGGTTTGAATAAAAATGCCCTCCCTGCTGGGTCATAGTGGCACACACCTTTAATCCCAGCACTCTGGAGGGAGAGGCAGGTGGATCTCTGTGAGTTTGAGGACAGTCTGGTCTACAAGAGTGAGTTCCAGGACAGCCAGGGCTGTCCTGTCTCAAAAAAACAGAAACAAAAAACCCAAATAAACAACAAGAAGTCCCCCATAGGCCCATAGGGAGTGGCATTATTAGGAGGTGTGGCCTTCTTGGAGTAGGTGTGACTTTGTTGAAGGAGTGTGTCACTTTACAGTCTCAGAAGCTCAAGCCAGGCTTAGTGGCTCACAGTTTTCCCTGGCTGCCTGCAGATCCAGACATAGAACTCTCAGCTACCTCTCCAGCACCAGGTCTGCCGCATGCCACCCACGTTTCCCACCATGATGATAATGGACTAAACTTCTGAACTGTAAGTCAGCCCCAAATAAATGTTTTCCTTTACAAGGATTGTTGTGGTCATGCTGTCTCTTATAGAACCCTAAAACATGTGGTCTGCTTGATTTGGAGGCCTAGGTCTTGGTAATAAGCTACTTAGTAGGTCTTAGAACTTCAGATGTGTGTCCCAGCAGCAGCGCCCACAGCCTGAGCAGGCCTACAAGCTCTCGAGACCTGGACCCAGCCCAACACCTATGTGAACCTTACTTACCATCAATACTCCAAAAGTGTTCTGGTCTATCCCTGTGCCTGTCCCCCACCCCCACCCCAGCCCACCAGTCTTGGGTGCTCTTGTACCTTCTCAAAAGGATGGAAATTCCATGTGATGGAATTTCTGCTTGGCAGACTTCTTTTCAATTTTCACCAAGACCTCCTCCCACAGAACATGAGACTTAAATAAAAAGGCTCAGAACGCCTGAAGGGGGCAGGAAGTGGGAAGAGCTTCCAAACCCCTTTCATTATTTCAAAGGCTTGGGAACACATTCCAGCTTTGGCTCAATCACTGCTATTTCTGAAGATGTAAGCATGGGATGGCAAGGGCTCATACCAGCTGGGGCCATTGTCCTAGAAGGCTTTGCTTCAGGAACTGCCTATCACACACAAGACTTGCTGAAGGTGGCCTTTTAATAGGGAGGAGAGGTTTGCTAATATTGGATTCTAACTTCTTCTTTCTTTCCTGGGAAAACAAGCCCAAACTCCAGAGCCTCGCAGATCCTTAGCAGCCTGTATTGAAATGTTAGAACCTCAGACAAGGGTGACCAGCTGAAAGGGTGAGCTTCTCAGGTCTGCTGTGCAAACTCTCACTGTGGCTGCCAGTTGTACAGATGGGACTGAGGGACAGGTAAGGGCACAAGGGTCCACAGACCACCAGGGTAAGCTGAACTTAATGTGACTGGAACATGTTTCTGATCCCAGAGTTGCTTAGGTATTCAAATGAAGAGCTGGATGAAATCTTTAAGGCAAATTTTAGCTTTCCATTATTAATCGCTTGCCAAAATGGAAGTTCCTGGGTGTTCTGGGGATCTTACATCACTAAGTCATTATCAGTGAAAGAGAAGGCAAAGTTCCATGTCCTTGTGTCTAGGAGGACTTTTATGCTGCTTGGCTTTTGTCAACTCAACACTAACCTAGACATACATGGGAAGAGGTAATCTTAACTGAGAAAATACCTCCAGAAGATTGGCCTGTAGGCAAGCCTGTGGGGTAGTGTCTTGATTCATGACTAATGCGGAAGGACCCAGCTCATAGTGGACTGTGCCATTCATGAGCAGAAGGTCCTGGGTTGTATGAGAAAGCCATGAGGAACAAGTCAGTAAGCAGCATTCCTTCAATGTCTACTGCCCTGATTTACCTCCATTGATGGAGCATGACCTAAAAGTTGTAAGGAGAAATATACCCTTTCCTTCCCATGCTACTTTCAGTCACAGTAATAACCTAAGACAAGTCTGATTACAGGGAATGAGATCAGCACTCATTAGCTTCTCACACTGAACAAGTTATTTCAACCAACATTAGACTACACTGGAGTCATTAAAGCACCAAGGCTCAGTTTGTAAACTGGCAAATAAAACTACTGCATCTTCTTCACAGGTCAGCAAGAGGCACAAGTAACATCAACTGTATGAAATCTCATTACTGTAAAGCTCTAACGTGGGACACCAGCGCTGTTCTGCAGAAGGCACTTCAGACAACACAGAAAGAGTTCCTGAAATGGCTGAGATGATGCCTGTCTCTACTGACCCCAGCCCCACAGCTCACCAATACATCTGGCCCTGGTCCCTGAGTTAACACTCATAGTGTAAATGTTTGTGCCTTCTTAAATTCCTGTGTTAAACCCTTGGTCTCCAGTGTGATGGTATTTGGAGGACTTTTCCAAAGTGACTAGTTCATATGGATGGAGCTTATATGATAGGTTTAGTGTCATAATAAAGAGGATGGGAGCAAACAACCCCTAAGGCTCATGGATACAGGAAGAAGAAAGTCCCCTGTAAAGCCACAAGATTCTGACATCTTGGCCTTGGGTTTATTTTGCTTTCCAAGACAATGGAACAAAAATACATTCTATCATTTAAGTCACATAGTTTGCTTATCACAGAACCCCAACTTTAACAAGATGATGAACCAGTGAAAATCACAGTGGCAGACGCTAATAGCTACATCCCCAATTGAGACACCAGCCATAAAAGACTTGGTGTCTGAAGCCCTGATACCACCTGTCCATGAGGCTGCTCCCCTGATGCCAGGTCTCATGGGCTCAGCTCAACCAGCTTGTTCACCTTCCCCAGCCTGCATCACCTGGACACCTAGAGAATTCCACACTTAGCTCCTCTCTTTATTTCCTGGCTTCTCAAACTTCAGAGTCAGCCAAATGATTTTGGAGAAAAGCTGTTCTGTGAAATCTATTAAGTTTGATGGAGGAAAAGAATGCCTCCTTCTAAAAATTTTATTCTGGAGAGTTCCATAGCACTGCTAATAGCAATCAAGTAAGAGTGACAATTTCTTACCTTAATAGATACCTTGGCATTAAACTGCTAGTTTATATAACCAAGCACCATCACTGTTATAAACTCTACACAACTGAGGTCATAGTTACTAACTGCTATTGTTATTTTGCATGGAAGTCAGGGCTCTGTACATAGTAGGCAGGTGCTCTACACTGTACTACATCTGTAGCCCACGGGTTATTTTGTGAATATTGTGTGCATATGTGGGTAGGTGAGTGCACTCACGTGTGCAAGAGTGTGTGTGCATGTGTTCATATGGGTTCTTGTGTGTGCTGATATGGGAGCTGAGCAGAAGTCAATCATTCCTCAGGAGCCGCACACTTTTCTTTGAGGCAGGATCTCTCACTGGCCTCCAGCTCATCAATCTGGCTAGACTGGCTAGCTATGAAACCTTGAGGATCTGTCTAATTCTATCGCCTCAGCTCTGGGATTCCAAGTGTGTACCTCCTTGTCCTGCTTTTTCAAATGAGTTCTGGGAGTAGAATTCATGTCTTCATACTCCCCTGGCAAGTACTTTACCAACTGAGTTAGCTTCCTAGCCCCAGATCATTTTTAACATTACATTTTAGGATGATAATCTTAGCATGAAACAACGACAAAAAAACTATAAAATATGACATTGAAATCACCATGTGGAATTAGTATATTCTGCTAGCTAAGTGAACTCCAGTTACTGCTTTATTCGTAAAACAATATAGGGTTCAATCCCTTTCAATCAGAAGACTGGATTCTCAGAGTTCTTGAAGAAGTTGAGAGCATATCCTTCTAATTATAGGGAATCACAGTGGAATGTGCCTCCATAACAATTCAACTCTAAACATACTTTGCTAATTGCTTGCAAATACCAAGAGCAGAAGGTTGCAAACATAGTCTCTAAGTATGCAAGCAGCCTCTGGTCTGGCTGTGAAAACCTGAGAGTAAACTAGCAAGAGGAGGGGACAGAAAGGGGGGCGGGTGCGAGACCTCCAGCAGCATTCCAAGGTTACTCTGGCTGATTTATCAATGAGGATAGGGGGAAGGGGACAGCCACAGCTCACCATGATGCATAGGATATAGTGTAGGGCAAGCAAAAAAGATTCTGAAAAGCTTTAAGAGATTACCAAGAATCTTTTCAACAGAAGAGAAAAAGAAAACAGAAAAACAATTACCGTGGAACTCTGTGGACACCAAAAAGTCCACAGAATCACAGACCCTGAAAACAGAACAGAGCAAACCTGAAGGGAAGCCTAAGTTCAGAGGGCAAAGGGGGAGTTATAGTCAAATGGGTCCTCTGGGTGATGTGAACACACTGTGTACGCAAATCCCCACCTCATCTTCTTGTACAAGTCCCAGGAGGGTTTGAGACAGGTGTGGAGGGAGATAGAGTTTACTTTGGGATTTGGGGGAGACCATAACACTCTTGCCATCATGCAGCATTGCCTTAGGGAACCCTTCAAGGATCTGAACACTTGCTGCCCATCAATCCCCAAATTTCTACCAAGTCGCATTCCCTACTTGGGTTAGTACTCCCGGACACGGGAGTTTAGGACAAAGTTGAGGAGCTCGCTCACAATATTTGCTCCATGGTAATTTAACTCATAGAGGAATAGATGTCTGAGTTGTAGGCTATTTCCTTTTGGTGTCTGGCCTCTCTCCTAATACACCAAGTAGCATGATGACCTCCTACCTCTCTCGCTAAGCTTATAAATCACCCTTGATTATCATCAGATAAAACACAGCACAGTTCCTATGTCTTTGGGAACAGTAACGTCCTCTTTCAAGGCAAGATTGTTGAGTAAGAATAGCCTTGACTCCATCCATTCCTAGTCTGACACAGACTTTTCTATATGGGCTTGGCTTTGAGATGCAAATAAACAGCTTTGAAATCTAGAGTGGTGAGTGGAGTTTGAACAGAGCATTTGATTAACAGAAAAAAAATTAATAAAATGGTGGCACCCTATTACCCCAATCTATAATAAGCAGATCAGCAGACCCATTTATAAAAATGATAAAGAAATGGTTTTAAATTTATATCTTAAATAAACATACACCCTGCAATGAATTAATTTCAGGTAAATATAAGGGTATTACATAACCTGTGATTATTCCAGGCAGATGGTAGATGTTTGAAGGACAGCATTGGTCACAGACTCAGACCCAATCTTAGTGGGCTACTCTCACTCCTCTATTTTGGTGCAGCCCTTTGTTAGCTAAAAATACCAGTGGTGAACCGGTGATCCAATGCAGTTCTGTGTTGGTTAATTTATTGACAACCTCTTACTTCCTACTCCAGGGGAGGCAGGAGTGTGGCAGACAGGGAGGGAACAGGTCTCAACTGGGTGCAAGGATCAAGGCCAGCATGGCCATTCAGGGATAAGGAGATAGAGACGTAGGAGAATAATCCAGATGGGCTAGCAGTCCTCCATGAGAGCACCTGGAAGAGGTTAGGTGACCCTGGACAGTTCTCCACATTGCTACCTGACTTCAACATGTGTAGACTTCGATCTATACATTCATTACAGGGGAGGATCAGACCTGTGAGCAGGCATGGCAGTGGCCCATGAGTGAACTGTGGAGAGTGAAGTCATGAGGATTAGGAGTCTCTTTGCTCCAGATACCTCAGCAGCCTGTACACTACACCTGTAGACTCTACAGTTGAAAGCCCAAGATCCATCTGGACTGAATAACTCAGCGGGATATGGGAGATTCCAGGGTAGACCACCCCAGGGCCATACAAAAATGTGAAAATGTAAAATGGCACAGCGCCCTGGATAAAAAGATGCCACTGTTACTAAGTGTAGTGATACTGTCTCTTACAAGAGACAGGAAGAGGAGTCTCCAACAGAAACAACTAGCAAAATGCAACTATATCTAACTTCATTGTCTTGAGTTTTCCTATAGCCCCAGAGGGAGATCACAGGTCTGCTCTCCCTGGCTCTCCAGTTCTGAACTTCCTCACTCTACAGTGAATGAGAGGATCAGACTGCCCACTCCACACACCACCACACCCTCACACTGTGGAGCAGTCTGTGAAGACGTGCTTGCACTCCTTTAGACTGACTGGGAAGGGTATGGTCACAAAGACCAGCAGTATCTCTGGAAATGAAAAGAAGCCCAGAGCAAAGAAGAAGATACAGTTAGGGAGAAAGAAGGAAACCTAATGGGAATTTTTTAAGTGTTAGATGACAAAAATCAATTTATGAGCTGTATAAGTCACTCTTCCCAAAATTGAATGTTAAGATGCAATGACCCATAAAGTATGATCAACCATGAAGATAACCCTCAGGATCAAGATAGTTCTGTCCTCTCCCCTACCCCCACCACTCATAACTCCACTTCTCAGCTTACCTGCTTCGCATGCACCTCATTCAGGCAGGAAGCGGGTCACTGGTGCCAGTCTGTTCAATGCAAATGTCTTTGTTTCTGTCTCTCAATCTCATGCTACCAAGAACAATTTGCAAGGTTCCAGACTACAGGGGAAATACATTCTACTTCAAAGTCAACTGCTGACAAGTGAATAAGTTTATTGTGTCCTTCTAGAGATGTCTTCTTTAAAAGAATAGTTTTATATAATCATTTTGGTTTAGGGATTTCGAACTAATCATGAAGACATATTTCCCCTTCCCCAACCCCAAAAGATAAATACCACAAGAGTTTTTTAAAGACTCAAAATAGAAAAGATAGAACTCCTATAATATTGTTGAAGTGGGGAGAGCATTAAAAGTTACAATAAAAACTACAGCAACCTACCCTCTTGGTTAGTTCACGGTAAATCCCTCTCTCTCTCTCTCTCTCTCTCTCTCTCTCTCTCTCTCTCTCTCTCTCTCTCTCTCTCTCTCACACACACACACACACACACACACACACACACACATATACACACACGGAATTACATGACACAGACAGGTACTGTCCCTCACTGCAGTTGTCAGTGCTCAGCAGCCAGGTCATCTGGGTCATATAAATGTATTACTTTTAGTTTTAGAAGCTCTGGGTGATGAGCTATATTAAAAGTATTATCTTTTATGTTAGCCATTAGTGGCCCACGCCTTTAATCCCAGCACTCGGGAGGCAGAGGCAGGCAGATCTCTGTGAGTTCGAGGCCAGCCTGGTCTACAGAGTGAGTTCCAGGACAGCCTCCAAAACAATACCGAGAAACCCTGTCTTGAAAAAACAAAAAAACAAACAAACAAAAAAGTATTATCTTTTCTTCTTCTTTCTTTGGTTTGGTTGTTTGTTTTGTCTTTTTGTTGTTGTTGTTGTTTCGTTTTGTTTTTCAAAACAGGGTTTCATTGTGTAACAGCCCTGGCTGTCCTGGAACTGGATAAGATTCCATTCAAGTTTGAATATCTCTCGTGAAGACCAGGGCTGCAAATGGAACCACAGCACTTCCACTCAGGAGAATCCTTTCAGGAAGCTAAGCTACTCTGTACCTTGCTCCTCCACGATGCTCTCTTCATAGGCTCCCATCACGGGACTAGTTTTCCTCACTGGCTGTTCACTGTTGGCACACACACATCCCAATGTTCACCATGTCTCACCATAAATGAGCACACCCTAAGACCTCTTTCCTCTGTATGGCTTTGTGGGTATCAAGGTGACCAGGAACAAGCCAATTTTGCAAAGGGCACTGGCTTGGAAACACACCATTGTTGTAAAAGTACTATCTGCCAAATAACTTAGCCTGACTGAGCCTGGAGGTCTTCTGACCCGCACAGTGGAAAGGCCATCATGTAGTTTACCCCAAGATGCTCTCTGAATGACATGAAATGGATGAGGGTGTGGCGCAGGATTAGCACTCAGTACATGCCGGGGTTTGCTCATTCCTCCACCTCTACTCAAGTCAAATATCTTCCCAGGGATAGGAGGGATGACAGCTGGGGGTGGAGGTTGTATTTCATGCTGGCTACATCTGGCCTTCATATTTTTTCCTCCAAAAGATAAAGGTCATTATGTTAGCAGGATCACTAGTTACTATGCATGTACCACAATCAATGCAGCAGCTGATAGCTTTCAGCTCTTTCTGAATGCAGGGGTCTATACTACATGACTGGTGACTAGCTCAGAGTACCAGCCATTCTTTGCTGGGACCCCACAGTTACCCCCCCCCAAGTCAGCATGGCTTTTTACTGAAATCATCACTTGGAGAATGAACGGGAAAATTGCTTCTTTTTGAGATCCACTCTGAACTTGGATTTCTGGTTTCCATTATCCACAGGATTTCGGGAAACATGATTTACTAACATGTGTAGTGTATATTCTTTGTCTCCGCATCTCACTAATGTCCCGTTAAAAAAAAATAAAAGATAAAACGTCCACCAAACCAAACAAAACAACAAAAAACTAAAAACGATTTCTTTTTTTGTTTTGTTTTGTTGTTTTTGTTTTTTTTTTGTTTGTTTGTTTTTGTTTTTTGAGACAAGGTTTCTCTGTGGCTTTGGAGGCTGTCCTGGAACTCACTCTTGTAGACCAGGCTGACCTCGAACTCACAGAGATCCGCCTGCCTGCCTCCCGAGTGCTGGGATTAAAGGCATGCACCACCACCACCCGGCTTTAAAACGATTTCTTAAAGGAATAAAATGTCTGCTGTAGCTATATACTGGAGTCAAGGAAAGGGCCTGCTTGCTACACTATGCTAGATATGCTATGTGAAAAACGGCCACATCTCCCAGTCATGACTATGGACACCTAGCTAAGTGCATGTATTGTGTTTCATCTCAAGGCTGCTTCTGAAAGCAGAGTGAAGTCAAGCAAGCTTTAATGGAATTATATATTTCATTTCCTAATTAATTATATGCTAGGCTTACACTGATGCTCTTATATTCACTTCTAGTTAATCATCAACTAAAATGTTCACCTCGAATGCACAGTTGTAAAACAGGTTGAGACTGTTGTGTGCATATCGAAATAAACTGAGTGCTTTGTATTTTAGAAGCAAGTTTCCTGGTGGCCCTTTTAGGTAAATGACCTTGTAAGATCACCAGGTCAATAATTACTTTCCAGTAGTTTTTAGCAGTTTTCTTAAGGTAAGAAATGGTTTTCAATGGCATTTGGATATGGATGCCATCGTGTTTATTCAGGTCAAAACGCAAAACATGGGAGTGGTGGAAGTGAAGGATTTTTTAATTAACTTGGCTGTGGCAATCATTTCACTCTATATTCGCATATCAAATCTCATGCTTTACACCCAGAATGTACTGCACACAGGTTTATTCATCATGGCTGGAGAAACTGTGGTACATTTACACTTTGGAGTACTACTCAGTGAAAAAACAAAACAAAAAAACAATGGGATCTTGAAATTCGCAGGCAAATGGATGGAACTAGAAGAAACCATTCTGAGCGAGGTAACCCAGTTACAAAAAGACAAACATGGATAGCCGTTCTTGACCAGAGTCGCGGGGTTTCCTGCTTCAACAGTGCTTGAGTGGAACCCAGCGCTCGACCCCTCCGACCCCAGCCGGCGGTTCTGGGACAGAACCCTTTGCAACCTGGTGGCTCCGCTGCTCCAGAGTCGCCAGCGGCCTGCCGCCACCGGGCCAGCCGCCACCCTTCTCCCTCGCAAGTAAGTGCACCAGAATACCACCAGAACTCGGAGGCTGCCATCAACCTCCAGATCAACCTGGAACTGTACGCCTCTCTGTTTATGTCTTGCTACTTCGACCAGATTGATGTGGCTCTGAGGAACTTTGCTAAAAACTTTCTCCACCAACCTCATGAGGAGAGGGAGCATGCTGAGAAACTGATGAAGCTGCATAACTAGCGAGGAGGTCGAGAATCTTCCTGCAGGATATCAAGAAACCAGACCGTGGTGACTGGGAGAGCGGGCTGAACGCAATGGCGTGTGCACTGCACTTGGAAAAGAGTGTGAATCAGTCACTACTGGAACTGCACAAACTGGCTACTGACAAAAATGAGCCCCACTTGTGTGCCTTCATTGAGACGCATTGCCTGAATGAGCAGGTGAAATCCATCAGAGAACTGGGTGACCATGTCACCAACTTGCACAGGAAGGGAGCCCCTGAAACTGGCATGGCAGAATATCTCTTTGACAAGCACACCCTGGGACACAGTGAGAGCTAAGCTGACCTCCCTGAAGCCACCAGTGACATCACTGGTCACTGAGGCAATACATGCATGTTGAGCTGCCCTTACCTTTTCTGTAAGCCCACCAAAACATCTGCTTGAGTTCTTTAATTTGTACTATTTCTTCAAATAAAGAATTTTGGCATTCTCCCACAAAAACATGGTATGCACTCATGGTATGTACAATCCACACCACCAGAGAAGCTAGGAAACAAGGAGGACCCTAAGAAAGACATACATGGTCCCCCGGAGAAGGGGAAAGGGACAAGAACTCCTGAGTTAATTGGGAGCATGGAGGAAGGGAAGAGGAAGCTAGGAGAAAGAGAAGGGGAGAAGACCCGGGGAGAGGAGGACATGAGGGAGCAGGAAGGTTGAGTCAGGGGAAGGATAGAGGAAAGCAAGATAAGAGATACCATAATAGAGGGAGCCATTAATGGTTTAAAAAGAAATCTGGCACTAGGGAAATGTCCAGAGATCTACAAGGATGACAACAATTAACAAGTTAAGCAATAGGGGAGAGGCTACCTTAAATACCCTTTCTCAATAAAGAGATTGATGAATACCTTATATACCATCCTAGAGCCTTCATCCAGTAGCTGATAGAAACAGAATCGGACACCCACAGCTAAACACTGAACTCCTGGAATCTAGTTGCAAAGAGGGAGGAGTGATGAGCAAAGGGGTCAAGACCAGGCTGGTGAAACCCACAGAAACAGCTGACCTGAACAAGGGGGAGCTCATGGACCCCAGACTGATAGCTGGGAAACCACCATAGGACTGTTCCAGACCCCATGAATATGGATGTCAGTTTGGAGGTCTGGGAAATCTACGGGGGCTCTGGTAGTGGATCAGTATTTATCCCTAGTACACGAATGGACTTTGGGAGCCCACTCCACATAAAGGGATGCTCTCTCAGCCTAGACACAAGGGACACGGGGGAGAGGCCTAGGCCCTGCTCCAAAGGATATAACAGACTTTGAAGATTCCTCCATGGAAGACCTCACCCTCCCTGGGGAGCATAAGGGTATGAGATAGGGGGTTGGTGGGGGACAGGGGAGGAGGAAAGGGAGAGGGAATGACATGTAAAACAAGCTTATTTCTAATTTAAATTTAAAAAATGGAAAAAAATTATATACTTCACTAAAACTGGAAAAGAACTTCTCAAATCATTTCTTTAAAAACAAACAAACAATGGTTGGGCTGTGGTGACACATGCCTTTCATTTAATCCCAGCACTGTGGGAAGCAGAGGCAGATGGATCCCTGTGAGTTCAAGGCCAACCCGGTCTGATCTACAAAGTGAATTCCAGGACTGTTACATAGGGAAACCCTGTTTCCAAAACCAAAACCTAACAAATGAAAAAAGCCTGACATGGAAAGTGCTGTATTTTCTAATGTATGCATATTGCTTTAATTACTACTCTGAGCTTTCTTTATCTTAGTATATTTTTTTTCATGCTCTTCTCTAGGGCCAACAGAGTAATCCCTAACTATGAAAATAAAATAATTAAAAAAATAAAAGTGATGATGTAAGCCTTACGTTCCCCCCCCCATGGCAAAATCCCAAGTAAATGCTTATCTACACACTCACAGCTAAGAGTGGCCAGAACCAGCATATTCGTAAAAACAGATGCACCAAGGTTTTGTTGCCCCTACCCCCTGGCCCTGAGAATGTACTGCAGAGGAAAAAGTACAGCAGGAAAAAGGGATGTCGGAAGTTTAAATGGCTCCTTTAGGTTTTCCAACCTCTGAGTGTTTTCTAGCAAAGCCCTTAGCAGGGCTGGTGAGGGCATCACACCCTGTGCTTGAGGAAAGGAGCCCATAGCTTGGGTTCAGGGTAAGCAGGCATCCTTCCCTCTGGGGGTCACTGCCAACTTAGTCCTTGGGCTTCGTTTCCAGATTCTGCACCTGTCTAAACTGAAGTGAGGAGGTGTAGGGGTTTGCTGTCAATCACTGCAATATATTTCTAAAGCAATCATTCACACTCCCACCACGTGCCCTCCCCCTCCGTGAGCCAACTTTGCAGCTAGTCACACTCTCTCAAGTTTGTTGTCTTGTGGACAAAGACAGGATGTCCAAACACTCATTGAAAGATCAGTAAACAAACGATCTGTACCATGTGGCTTGCGTCTGAAATGCCCCCCCAAGAGCTCATATTTTGAATACTAGGTTCCCCAGCTGTTGCACTATTTTGAGTGGTTGTGGAAAGATTGAGAAGTGGGTCTTAGTGGCAGGAGGAAGGTCACGGATGGAGAACTACCCCAGCCCCTTCCCACTGTGGCCTCTGCTTCCAGATCAATCGTGAAATAAAGAGCTCTCCACCATATGCACTCCAACCATGATGTTCTGTCCCAGCACATGGGCCAAGTGACTTAACCCACTTAACACTCTGAGCCAAAAATAAATCCTTCCTTTATCTTATTTCTGTCACATATTTTATTCAGTAATGCAAAAGTAACAAATACAACATACCATGGAGTATTATTGTGCCTTAAAAGGGAACAGATTCTGACGTGTTTCACAAAATGGATGAGTCTTAAGGGCGTTACGCTAAGTGAAATAAGCAGTCACACATACAAAATCCAATACCATATTACTTTACTTACATGCACTGTTTGAAGTGGTCAGACAAGGAATTAGTAAAAAATTAAATGTTGGTTTTCAGGTTTGGGGATAGGGTTAAATGGACACAGAACTCCGGTATTGCAGTGTTTTAAGGCTGGAGAGATGGCTCAGCAGGTAAAGTGCTTACTGTACACACAGGAAGATCTGAGTTCGGAGCCTCAAATCCCAAGTAGAAACCCAGGTGTGGTGGCATGCACCTGGAACTTCAATGACAGGGTCAGAGACAGGCAGATCTGGGGCTCTTTGGGCAAACAGTCAAGCAAAAATGGTGAAGTGTGGGTTCAACGAGAAACTTTGTCTTAAAAATAAGGTAGAAAGTAACAGAAGAGGACATCCTAACATCAATTTCTAACCTGGCATTAGCAAGTATGTACTCTCTTTCTGTGTCTCTGTTTCTCTGTCTCTGTCTCTCTCTCATGCACACACACACACACCACATGTACACACGCAATGTGTACATAAACTCTAAATAGTTAAGATGGTTATATGTATTTTATCACCATTAAACAGCATACTGTGGACAATTGATGGGGGATATCTTTCTGTATATATGCTTCTCTTATTGGTTGATGAATAAAACTCTGTAGCCAGGCAAGGCTTCCAGAGAAGGAGAATGCTGGGGAGAGGAGGCAGAGAGAGGCAGCCAAGGAGATGCCATGTAGCCAAGGAAGGAGTAAAGGTCCAGATGCTTCTCTGGTAAGATAAGACCACATGGAAATACTTAGATTAATAGACATGGGTTAATAATTAAGAGAGAGCTAGTCAATAAGAAGCCTGAGCCATTGACCAAGCAGTTTCTAATTAATATAGTCTCTGTGTGTTTATTTGGGCTAAACAGCTGCAGGACCAGGCGGAACAAGAAACTCCCTGCTACAGACAACCAATATAAGTAAATAAGATGGCAGAGGAAAAGGAAAAGTGCACAGAAGAGAACACGCCCAGCTGGAGTTTCTCCACAAAGAATCTAAATAAATAAGAAATGCTGGAAGGGAAAATTGTTCCTAGAATATTCTTTGTGTGTAGTGGCAATTCCTTGCTTACACAATTAGACAACACAAAGCCTTATCCTCTCTCTCTCTCTCTAGAGAGGAATGACTTTGAACTCGATCAAGTTTGAGTAAAGATCTTGGGCACATTTGATTTAGCTTGTGGTCCCTCTGGTATTTTTCCCCATCTCTTCATTCTTCTTTGAGGTATTTACCTGTGTCTTTACCTTAAACCCTGGCACAGGTTCCCTATGGCAAGCTTGCTAGCCCTGCATCCTATTTGTGAAGAGCACTTTGCACAGACAAATGCTATCATATTGCTGTGATGTGGTCAGTTCCTCGTTCTGTGCTGAGGGAAAGACAAGCCAAAATCTACAGCTGTCCCCCATGTGCCATCTGCCACTGCTCCTCATAGCCATGCATTGTAGGATGGGAAAAAGACATTTATCTTTAATACTAATTGTTCTGATCACTACACTTGCTATCTCAAGTTACTTGGATTGAAATGTTTTTAAATATTTGAACTAAGAAAATAGAATGTATGGTATATACCTTTCTAAAGATTGAATTTTAATTATGTATATGCATGTGTCTGCATGTGGATGTGTTATGTGAGTACAAATGAATATTATATGACTACAGGTATCTGCAGGGGCCAAAAGAGGACATCAGATCCCCTGAGAGAGCAGCAAATACTCTTAACCACTGGACCATCTCTCCAGTACCCAGTGTGCACCTTTTTGTAATTATGCCACTCTGGCTGGAATTAGAGACAAGCAAGCACTTATGCTGTTTGTTAATGAAAGACACAAGCAAGCTTCCCCATGAGTTGAGGGTGGAGTCACTACCTCCATAGCTGATAATGGACTCTTGGGGAGATACTGGAGGTCATCCTGAGATAAGTTGGATCTGAATTGTACCAGCTCTCTGACTTCATCCTCAGTTTAAAAATAGAAGCTAAGACAATGCTCCCATTAAACATATGGAAGGTGGAGAGGAGTCTCATTTATTTTCTCTCCATATAAACAGTGAAGCCTTTCCTTTGCAGTCTAACATGTACAAATAAGGAGATTTCACAGCAGGGCTGCCCTCAGACCCTGTTTAAGTACAGATCCGAGTGAAATGAAAAGATACATTTCTGTTATTAAAAGCTCATCTTCTGTTGAAAAATGTCCAACTAGCTCAAGAAAGATTCCTTCATGTTTATTACTATTAGCTAAAGGAAGGTTTTATTTTCCACATTCTCCAACTAGACGGTCAGAATTGCCTCTTGGAATCTACCCCCAAACTTCAGCTTCCTGATTAGCAAGAATTACTCAGAGAATGAGCAGGTCTCTAACTGCCAGCAGACTTCAGCCATTTTTTTTTTTAATCAGTCAGATAGGGGCAATCC